AATGACCCTGGAACATTATTGTACTGCAGATGTTTGAATGTTGTTTTTCTCAGCTTTGGAAATTCAATTCATGTTTATCAAACAAGTTCATCAAGTTGTGTATTGCAGTGACAAGGCCCTGATACACGCAGATTCACACTGTTGTCTTGTATTAACATTCTTGTTTTGAATTTATTTACTGTGTACGTTTTGCAGAATTGTTTTTGGTTGGTGGGTGAACATCTTTGTTTAACAGCACTTAGGCTCCATCATTTTGCGGAGCCCTTACCCAACTACTACCTGAAACGAAAAGCATGAAATACAAAATGATGTACAGGTATGCCTTCAACAATTTTGTAAGTGATGTCTGTGTCACAATGTATTTGACTTATCTTTCAAGTTTTCTTTTTTTGAAGCTACTCATGGGGTATCCTGGGTCCACAATGTGTCGGGATTATCCGACTCTGACAAGCTCGTATAAGAAGGTTGTATAAAAGAGATCTAGAAGAGAACAATGTCTAAAGAAACCTTTTAATTTTATCAGCTGTAAGTGAAAAAAGTGTTGTCGAAATAATGAATCATTATATGTAATGAATTGTGTACTTGTATTTTCCATAAGGATATATAGGTTTTAACGTTTTTCTAAAATTGTTGATATTATTTCTAAGGTCGCATATTTCTTTTTATGAATTTCATCCTAAGTTATTCATTGCAAAGATAAAAACTGATGTTTAAAAGCAAGGCGCCTTTTGTGTATATGATCACGTACGAATTCTGATACTCGTCCGGTTAATATGCAACTTGGATATTTTTTTTATAAAATTTTATAAAATGTTGGGAAAATAGTTTGAGGTCGGGTAGTGATACTGCTGCAGCCAGTGTCAGTGATCGTCTTCTTAGGAAACATGAAGCATGGAAGTCGTAAAATGCAAAGTTATGATAACGAAAATGTACAATCAAAACGTTCTGTATTGATAAAACAGTTGGGTTTATAATCTTTATCTCTTTTCTTTCTTTATGGTCGAAACTGCAATTACGAGAGCGCTTCTGTACCTACCTATATACGTGTTGTTATTTATTTTATAAATTATTTATGTTCGTTTGAGTGGAAACGAATAAGAACATAAATGTATTTATTGAAGTTATCATAACACGTGTATCAATCGGACACGTGTTAATCTAGTGTATATGAAGAGTGTCGGTCTGATTGGTTAAAGTATTTATAGAATACTGTTCCACAGGTATTCTGTTAAAGCACGCACGCTTTAGCGTGTGTAAAATTAAAATGCCATTCGAAGGCTCTTTCTCAGTGCAGTCAGACATTGCCCCGCCCACCCACCCTCACAAGTATCATGTTTGTTTTATTAATTATACGTTTTTGTTTTGTAGATTTAAGAGTTGCGGAAAAGTAAAGTTGTATTTGTATTATTGTGTGTAATTAAACTGCACTTACGAGAGCGCTTCTGTACCTACCTATATACGTGTTGTTATTTATTTTATAAATTATTTATGTTCGTTTGAGTGGAAACGAATAAGAACATAAGAAAAAGTTCTCGCATTGCTCAAATCCGCGAGAGGAACATTAAACAACAAAGAAACAAACATGAACATCCAAAACAAGATCCAGTAAATAAAAATGAAATCATAAATTCTCAGCATGCTAATTTATGGGGGAAAGTAATTTTATAAAAAAAAAAAAAAAAAAAAAACTAAAAAAAAAAAAAAAAACCCATAAGTAATTGTGATGTTTTTCTTTCTTCTTTATAAAAGGGGAAAAATAAAGTAATTCTTTAATTAAAATAATTTTAGTATGCTTACTGTTGTTAGCGGGTCTCGATCCCGGACCTCAATATTATTGATTCTGTGCATTACCGACTAAGCTAGTCGATACTTATATTCGAACACGCGAATTGTTGACATCAACCGTTGCTGTTAATTATCAATGGCTACTTCTACCGGTCGATGTTTTTTGTTATTAGTTATATATACTTTATTTAAAAACATAAAAATTAATAGTGACAAACATATGGAGAGAGAGAGAGAGAGAGAGAATGCACCAAATATAAATACAGTAACTATTCTAATTTTAGACCACTCATTACAATATTAGTTCCACCTCATGCATATTTATAAATCTTATCTCCAATCAAGGGCAGATAAGTCTATTTTCCCGATATTTGCAGAGAGATAGGGTAAGAAAACAACTAATTATTTTATTGCAACACAGTTTATAACCATTATGACATTGCATTTCATTTGGAAATAGACCAAACTCTATTACACATGACTTAAGGCAAAAATAAAAACAAAAATTAATGTGACAACAGAGATTGAAAAAGACCCAAAAACCGGCGTTAAGTGCAGTCATCCTTTCTTTTTCCTAGCCAGTGATCAGGTGAGCAATGTGGCCTGTAGGCCTCTTGTTTGTTTTTATAAAGCTCTCAGCACATCTTTCCTAAACTGGTTATCAGCGACACTACAAAATCTCCATATCAAGTCAAAATACTAGTAAGTTCTTTTAAACTTCTCATCGCCATATTTTAGTCACATTTCAAAAAAGTATCATTGAATTCAAAGTTTTGTAACTAATGTTCAAACTTGTTGATTAATGCCTCATTTTTGGAAAGCTCATCTTGTACAGAGTTTAAAACATTAGAACCCTTTGAATGAAATGTCTTTTCATAGAGCTCTTGTTTAATCTTGTCCACTTCAATAAAAAAATCTAAAACATTGTCCTTCACATTTGTCAGACTTTGAGAAATGTTTTGGAGTCTCCTCGTCTCTTCAAGAGATTCTTTATTCACACTGTTTTGTGCAAACTCATCATAAGTAGATGCTAAACCAGAAGTCTCTGATGAGACTGTAGCTATACTGGTTTGTGCGTGTAACAAAGGAAAAGTAGCACTTGGATTTGAAACTTTGCAATAGGCAGCAATAAATAGAATTATGAATCTTAGTGTAGTCTACTTGTGTGCCAAATTTTATTGAAATCAGACCAACATTGTAGGAGGGGTAGCGTTTTAAATGAATTTCACAGAAATTTCTATTTACCTTGGTGACACCGTTCATTGAAATCAAAAACCGATGCACTAATTTGTGTATCTTAATGTAGTTAACTTGTGTGCCAAGTTATCATGAAATCAGACCAAAACAGAAGGAGGAGTACCGTTTTAAAGGAACTTTACAAAAAATTCTATTTTAAGTAACCAATTCATCGAAATCAAAAACCGATGCACTGCATTATGTATCTTTGTGTAGTTAATTTGTGTGCCAAGTTATATTGAAATCAGACCAAAACTGTAGGAGTAATGTTAAAAGGAATTTCAAAAAAATTTCTATTTTAAGTAACCAAGGCAACACCGTTCATCGAAATCAAAAACCGATGCACTAAATTATGTATCTTAGTGTTGTTTACTTGTGTGCCAAGTTACATTGAAATCAGAGCAAAATTGTAGTCCTGAATAGTAGCGTTTTAAAAGTATTTCACAAAAAATACTATTTTAAGTAACCATTGCAAAACCGTTCATCGAAATCAAAAACCGATGCATTTACTTATGTATCTTAGTGTGCCAAGTTATATTGAAATCAGACCAAAACTGTAGGAGGAGTAGCGTTTTAAAGGAATTTCAAAAAAATTTCTGTTTTAAGTAACCATGGCAACATTCTCCGAAATCAAAAACCGATGCATTCAATTAAGTACCTGAGTGTAGTCTACCTTTATTGAAATCAGGGCAAAACTGTAGGAGTAGTGTTTTAGATGACAAATTTCAATTTTTAGTAACCATGGCAACACCGTTCATCGAAATCAAAAACTGATGCACTTACTTACGTATCTTAGTGTAGTCTACTTGTGTGCCAAGTTATATTGAAATCAGACCAAAACTGTAGGAAGAGTAGCATTTTAAGGTCAGACGCGACGTATCTTCCATTATTTCCAAAGATTTTTTTCTATCTCCGCAATGTGAAGATTTCCACCACAAAATTCCGGAATAATTCCAGAATTGGTTTGAATGTTAAGAAATTATTATGTCCCTTTATGCGCTTTTTTGTAATTGGAGGTAATTTTATTACTATGTTTACAACATGGAGGAACAAGTTCGCGGGAAAGTTATGAAATTTATATCCGAAGGAAAGTTGAGAAGGATACGGGCATTAGAAGTAAACAACTAGCGGAAAAACCAAGGAGAGATACTTCTGCAGCCAAGTGAGTAAAATTTTGATTATGATTTCTTGTTTTCGATTCTCTTTCATATATGGTTCATACGGACGTATATAAACGCCTTCATGTATATCCTGCATATTATTGTATAACTGTGCATTTCATTTATTAAAGGTCATGATGATGCAAGTCTTGTTCTGTCAGAGACTTCTCACTCCATCGATTTGCCAGAATATGTACCTTATGAGCATGATTATTGTATGTCAGTGCCATCAAACATTGAAGAAGAGGAAATCGTGATAGGTTGTGAAGACACTGGTGATGATGTAACGATAAAGTGGAACGAAGGGAGAAGGATTATTGAAATTCAGTACGTCATTGAGAAGCTGCTTGAAGGTTGTGAATTCTGCAGACATCCTTTGAACTTCACAAATATTTGTGGTGAGATCAGATATGGGCTGGCATCAGTGTTACAAATAAAGTGTGTGAATTGTGATATGGTGGTATCAGTTCCAACAGGAAAGAGACACTCACTTGTAGACAGTGACCATCCATCAAGAACATTTGATGTCAACACAAAACTGGCTCTTGGTAGGCATTGTATATAGATAATTAAATTTTATATGTACATGTACTACAAACAAAAATGTAGTGCAGTTTTATTCTAAGGACACATTTTAATATGATATTTGAATGGTATACTAGTTGAACCACCAGATATATTATAAATTACAAAAATTTAAATGTTATTATGTTGTAAAAAGAACAGTATATAAAATTGTTTATATTTTATAGGTATGCTTCATGCAGGCATTGGCCAGAAGAAAGTATCAATGCTATTAAGTGTACTTAATATTCATCTATGTGCCACAAAACCTTGAAGAAAACAGAAAGGGAAGTAGGAAAGGCATTAGAAGAAGTGGCCAAAAAGAGTTGTGACGATATGGCTGCAGCCGAGAAGGAATCATCAAGGTACCAAATTACTTTTGTAGTAACAGAAATATATTGAACATTTTTTTATCTGTGTACTGTGACAGGTATTTTTATCAAACATTTTTTTAATAATATTTGCAATGCTTATAATATAAATAGGAAAATCAAGGTTACATATACTAAAATGAACTATGCTGTTTTACAGTACACCTAATGAGCTGTCTGTATCATTTGATGGCGGGTGGCAGAAAAGAGGATCAGGTCGATCCTATTCCAGTTTGTCAGGTATATAATTTATTTTCTAAACATTCCAGTAAAATAAAATAATATCACACAACATGCCGTTTGGTTGCGCTAAAGTTAGTAGTACGTAATCCATTGTTACGACTGTGTCAGTGCTTTCAATTTGAGTGATTATATAATATAACTATTATGGTCTTCAGTGAATGGTCAAATTTATGACTGTGGTTTTAAGGACTCATGGCAATTAATATTGACCTCAGACACAGAAAATGATAGCAACCTCGCCTGTTCTTTCGATATCACTCTCTGTGCCTTCGGTCAATATCAATTGCCATGAGTCCCTATAACCACATATCGACCTTCACTGAAGTCCATAATTGTATAATATATAACACTTTGTGGCACATTTTTATCTCTTTAGTGGATGTTAGTAAAATAATAAGGGATATTTTTTTTAATAAAAATTGAATACATCTTCCACTGTTTCATAGTCCAACTTCAATAGACTGATTAGTGTATGGCAAACTGGCAATAAGTAAAATGTAAGACAGTACATTTTATCTTCATAAAGTAATTTAGTTGTGATATTACTCTTTTATTGCATGTATTTTTTATAATTTACACATTATAAATTTTGCAGGTCATGCTGCAATGATCGGAAATGAAACGGGGAAAGTTGTCAATTTTGCAACTCGCAACAGCTATTGTAGAGTATGCGACAACTCTGAAAAATCTGGAAAGGATCTACCCATCCATGACTGTCGAAAGAACTGGTCCAAAAGTGCAAAAGCCATGGGACCAGATATGTGCATACAGATGTTGCAAGAACTTGGCCAAAATGATGTGAATGTCAGCACTGTTATCATGAACAATGATTCAACAACTGTTGCAAGAGCACGCCTGGAGGTAAACCCAGCCCTAAAGAAACAGAGTGATAAAAACCATACAATGAAACAATTTACTAATAAATTATATGACTTGAAGAAGGGCAAGAACTACAAAGAACTAAATACCAAAACCATAAATCATATCAGCAAGTGTTTCAAATACTGCATCAGTCAAAATCAAGAAGATTTGAGCAGTCTGAAGAAAAATCTGGAGGCCATAACACCACATGTCTATGGAGACCACAGGCTATGTGATACCTGGTGTGGATTTCTCTCTTCACCTGAAACCTACAAGCCACAGCAACTTCCATATCATCGCTACCTATCTAACCAGCACTTGAAATCTGATCTATCTCTCCTTGGATTCTACATTTCACAGGGTGAAAAATTAATCAACTTAGGAAGTACATAGGCAAATGAGAGTTTCAACAATACAGTTGCAAGTAAAACACCAAAGTCCACTTTCTACTCTGGATCTGAGAGTAATGACTTTCGTATTGCTGCTGCTGTGGCACAGAAAAATTTAGGACATCAATATGTAATACAGGTATATACATGTAGTATAGTAATTTGTATATTTCATCACTACAAGACAATACAATAAACACGTGTATTTCTATGTAAAGAAGATATCATTTTGGACATACCCTCTTTCATTACTGGTAAATGAGAAGTTGCTTCTTTCTCCTGGACAAGTCACTAGTTCCAGTGCAAAGAAAACAGATTTGAAAAGGAAACGAGACAAGGAAAGAGAAGATACACCAGCTTACAAGAAGAACAGGGCAATGAAGAAAATAGATTCCCAGAAGTCACAAGTCATCAGAGATTAGGGAGGGAACAACATACAAAACGTGTTGATCTAAACAACAATGAAGGAGACATGGAAAACATTACAGAGATACCACCACCTCTGAGAAACCTCAGTCTACTCCTATTGTCCATGACCAGTGCACATTTGTTTATTTTGATTTGGAAACTACAGGTCTTGCTGAGTGTTCATATATTGACTACAGAAGTAATGCATGGAACTGAAGTATTATTTTCATAATAATTATGCCACTGCTTCATTTCTTCCAGAATTATAAATTTGTAATGTAAAAGTGTATGTTGTCTGTTTGTGACATATTGATTTATAATTCCTTTTCCTTATGATTTTATAGGTAAAGATTGTGAAGTCACCAAGATTGGTGCATATGCCTCTGAGAAATCGTTTTCACAGTATATCCTTCCATCTACACAGCCCATTTCACCCTCTGCCACTGCTGTATCGGGTATTGCTGTGAAGGAGAATATTATGTTCAAGAATGGAGTACAGGTGCCATGTAAGAATGCGAAGGATGGTATAGTATATAAATGGTGCCTGTTTTGGAGGGTAACAGTTGAAATTGACACCCCAAGGAAAACCATTGTCAACCGACGCGTCAGCGGAGGTTGACAATGGTTTTCCGAGGGGTGTCAATTTCAACTGTTACCCTCCAAAACAGGCACCATTTATTTTATTATACTGAATGTCTTCTTGATTTACTATGTCAGCAATGCAAATCGTCGATCGCCTTTTCGTTCACGTTTAGAAAGCTTTCAAACTCCCCGCTACTTCGAAAAAGATTTACTGACCTCTTTATTGTTTATTTGATACTCTACGAGTCCTTTATCATCTAAAGTTTCCTTATTTCTGCACTCGCAAGCACGTTTCGTCTGTCGTTTGTTGTTTTCAAGTAAGCTACATCGGACGCAAGCTTTTATTGACGTCAAGTTTATTCCGGGTCTTTCAAACGCGCAACTGACGTTTTGAGAATTCTACGGTGAACCGTACGCGAATAATTTCCACGCATGTGGCATTACCGTTGTGTTACCCGTTGTCACGTGTGTTGCTAAGGCTGAGGGTAATAGAACAGATTGTTAACTGCGTCTAAACCAATCAAATTTTAGTATTTAACATGAAAGTATAATAAAAACATTTATTACATGGTTGAAAAATTTTTCCAACATAGTGTTAGTTGCTCACAATGCAAAATTCGATTCGAATGTTATAATCCGTGCAATGCATCAAGTGGGACTAAGAGCCAGTTACTTCATTATTGGGTTCGTAGACACTGTTATTGAGAATGACAAATATGCTATTTTATTGAGTAGAAATGCTTCTTCATTGAAACATCTTGTAGATGAAAGTATTTTATCTAAATTTACAGCTAACAAAATTGCAGCTTCTGGTCTTCACTATGACCATCTTTGCATTGCTCCTCACAGAGATCCTGTGAATGGTGTAAAGTCTATTTTGTCAGAGAAAAACATGGGTAAGGTCAGAGTGACATCCAATGGTAAAATCATCAAGTCATTACATCAGTATTTTATGAAAGGTAACTGACCACTTCTTATATGAATATACATGTAATGACTATTGTTATATGAATATACATGTAATGACTACATGTTTCTAATTTGAACAATTATCTGTGATATCATGATGATTTAAATACACTTTCTATTCCACTGCATTTGTTTCTCATTTCTTTTTCATATTAAAGGGAGATAACTCAATTCGTTACAATGATAAAAAATAGCATTATCATTAGAAAATTTATTCAATAGCCTGGAAACATGGCTTTCAAAAAATAAATTTCATTTTTTTATCATATTTTTCCATCTGGATATACAGTTTCAATGGAAAATATCTACTATGACTTTATAAATAGCATTCAATACTTTTTTTGTATGTTATAATAAGGATTATCCAATTTATTCTAACTCTATAAATAGCCTGGTGACATACCCCGATCCAATTTTTTGGGCATAAACAGGTTTATATGCAAATAGATCAAGCATGAAGTTTTATGGAAATTTATCTGTAATTGAGGAAGGTCTCGTGTGTCCTTAAAGGAATTTCACAGAAATTACAATTTTTAGTAACCATGGCAAAATCATCAAAATCAAAAACCGATGCATTTGTTTATGTATCTTAGTGTTGTCTACTTGTGTGCCACGTTATATTGAATTCAGAGCAAAACTGTAGGAGGAGTAGCGTTTTAAAGAAATTTCACAAAAAATTCTATTTTTAGTAACCATGGCAACACCGTTCATCGAAATAAAAAACCGATACACATGTTTATGTATCTTAGTGTAGTCTACTTGTGTTCCAAGTTATAATATATTGAAATCAGACCAAAATTGTAGGAGTAGCGGGGGACACAAATTCTCTGAATTAGCTTGTTAACATAAAATCTGCAACTCTCCGGATGACTGGAATTTTTACAAGACTTCAATGTAAACAATATTGCCCTGAAACAGCAATGGCGGAGGTTATGCGTAGAACTGATAAAATTGATTAAAATATGGAAAAAATGAACAATTCTATTATAGAAACAAGGAAGAAACCTATCTAATCAAAAATGCCAATTAAATAAGACATTTCTAAACTTTAGAAATTCTATATCAGAGTGTGTGTTATGTGCCCACAATCTGATTAAAATCAAGTCTTTGTTACACTCTAAATTCTAATTATAATGGTCGCTGTAAATATAGAAGATTGTACAGTGACCATCAGAATTCAGAGCTTAAGAAAGATCTGATTTTAATCAGATTGATGTTCCCATGAAGATACATTTATGTATATGATCATGCTCTATATTCTATTAGTAGCCAAACATAAAAGTATTTTTCGAAACCTTTACTATATATGACCTAGATTTTCATCCTGCAAAGGTAAATTACCCATTCAGGACCCAATAAAAACTTTTCAAATAATTATTGACAACAGTTATATTGTATATAATTGTTTTATTATAATATGATATGTATAAAACAACTAAAATTTGCAATATACTGAACTACAAATCATACTGTTACATATAATGTTGTAAAATAAAATATTGTAACTTAAAAGATTGTAACAAATTTTCAAAGCCATATTTACTTAGTCTTTCAAGTCCCATATGTTCAACATTTAGATCCATGCTTTTTTTTTTTAATGAATCCTTCCACTCTTTTTTATAGAAAACTAATAAACTGTCATGATTGTTTACAGCAATTCAAATCCATAACATATTTTGTATCAAAATATACTGCTCAGGCTAATATGATGTCTCGGTTAATACAGCGGCCATTTCTTCATCAATCACAGTCCAGATCAAAGGCCATCTTGTGGGATTATTTGCTTTTCTTGATATTTCAGTCAATTCCTAAAACATGAAAATTAATGTATTTAAATTCAATTTAACTATCAATTTTCATATCATAATTTATAAATTGATTACTAGTATTTATTATATTGCCCTGGTATATCCAAACAAAGATAAATGACAGGGTTATGAAAGGTCTGCTGGGGGTCAAAATAAGTAAAGCCTCAATTCCATTTCTAATGCCAAAAGCAGGGGGTTCTATCAATTTTTTTCTTTATAAAAACAGTCCAAACATGAAAGCCATATTCTTTGCATATCAAATTCTCAGACCCCAAAATACAATGTTGTCCCAAAATTTTTAAGTAAACTGCTTATTAATGGTTTAAATTGAGTGTAATCCTTGAAAAGTGAAAACTGTCACAGGTATTTTAATTACCTACCTTAAAATACAATCCCACTGTGTACTTCTTTTTATGTTAAATATTCCCGAATTCCAAGCATACATTGGAAAGGTCATGCTCTTGGTATCAAGGCCTTATAGAGCCTTAATTAAAGTGGTCCTAGAAATGGTCAAGAAAATTATAAATTTATAGATAAAAAAAGCCTGTTACATGAATTTTGAAAATTTGACTTAATGTGTTTTTTGTCTCAGAAATACTATTATAGTAGATAGGTTGCCATGTAAATTTTTATCTTGTAAATGGATGTCAAACAAAATGTTGTAAAAATTCAAAAATTAAACAGTGGCGCATCCAGGAATTTTGTAACGGGTGGGGGGGGGGGGGCAGTAGAAGGGGGGGGGGGGGGGGGGGGGGTCTGGTAGCTGTACTGAAGCCCAGCGGGTCTAAGGTGAGGTCCTCTTTGGGGAACCAGGGCTGAAAAGCTAACAACTTCTTACACATAAAAAGGATGTTTTTCCTTGATTTTAGGATAATGGACATAACTAGAGCAAAGCTCGTTGCAAAGCAACGAGTAGGTCTTCCGTCCTGTTTGACCGGAAGTAGCTCTCATTTTTAACAAAAATGAGAAATAACGCCCAAAAATGCTTTGAATCCTCTAAAGCGATGTTAATTAATGCAAAAATAAGCCATTTTTTGCTACTTCCGGTTTGACCGGAAGTGATGACTATGCACGAAAAATTAATTTTTAAGCTCCCAGAGACATATGTTGCCCAAAAACTTGTCAAAAACGGCAAAAATACGCGTTTTCCGACTACTTCCGGTTTGGCAGGAAGTGACGACGTTGGACGTATTTTGACGACTCCATTAGATTTAGCTTGACATTTTCAACAACTTTGCTTCTTTGATGTATAACAAAATCTCAATACTTTTTAAGATATCTGGAAATAACTTTTGGCCCCTCTAGATCCCTTAATTTAGGGGTCAGTCCTTTTTCCGACATATCGTTTGAAAGATCTTCTAATTCTTCACAAATTATGCTCTATATATTTTAACAAAATATTTTTAGTTTAGGAGATAAGAAGCAAAATGTGAGTAATTTTTGGTTCTTTTAAGCGTTCTAATTTTTGACCCCTATATAGCGCCATTTTGAATAAAGAAATCGAAAAACAAAAACCGATGTGCAGAACTTCAATCCTTCTGTTATCTAAAATCAGTAGAATTTCTGCTCCAGCTTTAGCCTTCTCTGAGCCTTTGTCTGGAAACGAAAGCCTATAAATTTTCGTTAAAAGGGGAATAACTCAAAACCGGAAGTGACTTTTTGAAATTTTAGCCTGCATTCTGATAGAGTTTATAAACGTCTATAACCTCTGAAAATTTGAGCGAAATCCGGTCAGAAATGAGCGAGTTACGAGGTCTCAAAGTTGGCGTCTAGGAAAAAAAAAGGTATATAAAGAATAATTTTAACCATCAGAATCAGTAGAAGGTCTTCCGTTGGAAACGGAAGACCTTAATAATTTTTACATACAAAAATTTCAAACCGGGGGGGGGGGGGGGGGGGGCATGCCAGCCCGGGATCCGCCTTTGATAATATCTTCACAAGATATTTGACGATATTTTGGTGTTCTTTACTTTTCATAGAATAGAAAATTATGGAATTTTAAGTGATGAAATAAGAATAATACTAACTTGCATTTGAGGAGGAAAATTAATCCTCTCTGTCATTATCCTTCCCATTAAATCTTCTTCAGTCGGATAAGTGTACATTTGGGATTATCCTGATATATGTTCTATATGATTTATGACAAAACAAAATGACTATATAAATGCAAACTTTTGCACTTGTTCAAAAGATTGACAATTTCATTGCATATTTTGAATCTGTCAAGTAAATATGCAGCCGAGTACTTTAATGAGAATTTTAAAAATGCATATACATCAACATATCTATACAAACTGAATTATTAAAAAAAAAACGTAATTAATTTATTCTTTCGAAGCTTACATTTAAAACATAATTGATTATATTTGTACATAGACTAGCATCATATATTTATTAGTGAATCATGATTACGGATACATTTGACTGTTAACACCCCCTCCCTTTATCATGTAGACTTATGTGAAAACAACATATAATGTACAGAATTTACTGAGCAATAATAAATTTTAAAAGTTAACAGAATTCTTTAAATGCAAATAAAACTAAATGAGGAACTTAATTACCTTTTGAAGTTGAAGAGATGAACGTCTCCCCGAATGCATGTGGCACTACATCATGTGACTGAGGACATTGAGGTTTTTGTAGCGAAATTCATGATTGACACTATGTATGGCTGATACCTAGCGGTTACCCGGCTTTTTTTCTACAGGAAAGCTTAATTTACAACAGCTTAAACACTAAAGGAATCCGGGAAAACATCGACGCGAGGAATCCTTTAATGCAGCCCATTGTCGCACACGTAACACCATTGAGCGAGAATTCGGAAGGTGAAAAAGAAGGTTCCATGTCTTACACAGTGAAATTAGGATGAAACCGGCAAAAGTCTGCAGAATAATTGACGCATGTGCAATTCTGAATTCGATCTGTAGCGCCAGCTTGGTGTTTTGTAACTCGATGTTCTGCTTCTCGAGGTCTGTCCGTTCCAGGCTAGGAGGCTAGAAACCTTGAATCGGGCTCCAGTTCCTACTCTGGGTCGAACTCAAAATTGTACTCTTAGGAGTACGAGATCAAAATCTTAGGTTATAAAAATTTTCGAGTACGTATTCCTAAGAGTACGTACTCGAAAATTTTTTAGTACGAACTCGGACTTTTTTCAATTACACAAGCGGTCTCTTTGGAACTCTTCAGTAATGGCGGCGCCCATGTAATATTTACGCTGGTGAGTTGTGGCAGTATTCCAATTGGTATAGTGATGAGTTCATTTGTTTATTTTCCATTAAAACGTTTTAAGTTAATTTTTTCTCAGAAATTCTTATGAAATTACATATGATTTTTGTAAAAGGTAAAGGGTTGTGTTGGTTACTTTGTATCCGACGACAAAGTACAATATCGTCTGCATATACACAGCAGACTATATACACAGCAGACTATAGGCCTATGTACAAAATCTAAAATGGCAGAAAAAGATATAGAGAAACTCCTTACCTCGAAATAGGTTTTTGAGAAAAAAGTGAGAACAAAGTGATCCCCGGACGAGGAGACGAGACTGATTTCCGCCGTACTGGATAGATCTGTTCGGGGATTTTAAAGGGGGCGAAATCCGGACAGGCTAAGAGGAGGCAGGGCTGGGAGGAAGTGGCAGATGTTTTAAATGCGTAAGGAATTTCTTCCTACTTGGAAAAACTATTATTTACCTAATATAAATATCATATTCAAGAAAGTCAAAGTGGAAATGATCTGCTTTCTGATTCTGTGTTATAGGGTTTGGACAAAATAAGATTGATTGTTTGTCATTGTATCTGAAATATACTTGTAAACATCGTCAAATCACAGTGTGTTTGAAATGTACTTTTCATGTGTTAATATTCAATTTATACGTTTATCCCTTGTGCACAAAATAATGTAATTCAATATTCTGATTTGATGTTTTGAAGCCATAGCTTATGATTGAGGCCAATAAAAAAGAATTTTATAAACAATAAAGAAACAGAAAAGAGGAAAAACAAAGCCATAAATTGTATGTTTAAGTCTAATTTGTTTTTGTAGACAATTCACTAACAGCAAGCGAACGCCAGAAGAATGCAGGTAGAAGTACAACGATGCTAAACAAAGGAGTAAGTGAATTTAATTCCTGCATACATGTATGTGTTCTAACACAAAATGTCAGCTAGATCTAAATTAGTTTGTATAAGTCCATCCTCAGAAAGAATTTTAGTTTTAAAAAAAAGAGAATGTTGTACTATCACCTTGATCACTGGCTTCAGTTTGTTATGGGACGAATTCACTAGAACACACTGTATCCCATTTCTTTATTAGTAAAAAGCTAAAATCAAAACAAAACAAACAATCAGTTTACAATAAATCAATAAAATGCAATAATAATGACAAAATAATTCAGAATTTTCAATTATAACCATAATGTGTTTCCATAGCTTTCTAATATCTTATGTAATAAAGATCACAACTGGCTTCCATACTTTTAAAATCAATTAGCAACCACGTGTATCATGTTTCGTTCAATTACTACACAAATAAAGCTTGATTTCACATCAATTACATAGAAAAAGATGGATTCGATTCATATCGACATAATATAGTGTGATATTGTATGCATATACAATATTTCAATTGCAAACATCGCAATACACAAATCTGCGCACTATGCAGAAAATAGGTCATGTCAGCCAACCGACAAATCAAGAAATTGTGCATCTTAACACAGTATGCATTCCTATGCACCCTAGAATAACAATCTATTTCATAAGTTTACACAATTAAAGCATTAAAGTAAACAACTTACACTATAGAACTGCATTAATCACTGCAAATGAAGTGAGACAACGTGCTCTGCTCTTGCCGACATTACAAAAACAAAAGTAAGTCGTACGTAAAATGTTTCGTAAAACATCACACTCCCCGCCTAATATCCTAAGGATATTACTTAACTCAAACATACAACACATAAAAAAAAAACAAAAAAAAAACAAATATCAAGTTACATCATAGATGACTGTAAGAATGAACAATTCAGTTCAAGTCAATCAATTAACAGTACCAACTCTGTAATTGGTCTAATGTATGTAGTGTCCTTGCCATCTCTGACAACACGAACTTGAACAGTTCTGACTTTTTGATCACTATCACTCTTGAAAACTTGAACGATTAGACCCATAGGCCACTGTCCACGGTGTAACTCCTTTTCACGTAACAGTACCACATCCCCTACTTTTATGTCCAGATGTTCAGACTGCCACTTTGTCCTACGCTGGAGATGTTGCAAATATCCATCCTTCCATCTCTTCCAGAAAGTATCAGAAAGATGTTGCACATGTTTCCACTGCGCTTTATATATTTCCTTGATGTCTGATGAATCTTTCAGAAGAATGTCAGGGAAACTTTTCTGGGTAAGTAGCATTGACGGACTGATGACGTACGGATTGTCAGGATCACACGACACAGAACAGATTGGTCTAGAGTTCACGATAGCGCACACCTCACACATGAAAGTACACAGTACTTCATGGGATAACTGCTTCACATTAGGGTTAAGTAACATGGAATCAAGTATCTTCCTAGAGATCCCGATCATTCGCTCCCAAGAACCTCCTCTGTGCGAAGCATGGGGTGGGTTGAATGTCCATGTTATTTTGTTGTCATGCAGGTAATCTTTAAGTGGTCCCTTTTCTGTATATATTGCCTCTGCCTGAATGACGTCTAGAGCACCTACAAAGTTAGTCCCTCTATCAGACCGTATTTCCTTGACCGGACCACGTAAGGAAACAAAACGTCGTAATGCGTTTATGAATGATGAGGCACTCATCTCTTCTATCACCTCTATGTGGATAGCTCTCGAAGTTAGGCAGGAAAAGAGAACAGCCCATCTCTTGCTGTGTGATAATCCTCCTCTAGTCTTGCGTGCGACTATAGACCATGGGCCAAAAACATCGACTCCTATGGCAGAGAAAGGTGGTCCTGGTGTGACACGGTCTGCCGGTAAGTCACTCATGCGTTGACACTCCAACTTCCCTCTAAGTTTTTTACACACAACACACTTGCGTATGATAGAATTGACCAGTTTCTTGCATCCAACAATCCAAAAACCACTTGATCTCACTTTGCCCTCTGTAATAAGCCTCCCTTGGTGGTACACTTTCTCATGTAAATGAGTCACAATAAGTTTTGCAACATGAGACTTTGCAGGCAAGATGATGGGGTTCTTCTCATCAAAGGACAAAGGAGCTTGGTTTAGACGTTCCCCAACACGCAGAATGTCCTGGTCATCTAAGAACGGATGTAAATTCAAGATGCTGCTTGATGAAGGCAACAGCTTACTGTCTCTGATCCGTTTGATTTCTTCCTCATAGAAGAATGCTTGGACTGTCCGTATGATGAATAGTTCTGCTTCCTGAGTGTCCTGGACACTTTGTGATGGTAAGTTGATGTTTCCTTTCCTCAACTTGCAGATTTTCTTCAGATTTGTAATGGCTCGAACTAAACTTTTCCAAGCGGAGAAGTGTTCAAATCGTGTCACCAATGGTGTGTGTATTTCAGTTTTCTTCACATTGACTTCTGGGCGTATCTCTTTGTCCTTGTCTGGAGAAATCAATGGAAAGGTAAGTATTTCTTCATCGGGTTGAGGAGACCTTAGTAGAGGCGGTCCTCGAAGCCAATCACTCTCAGCTAGCTGCTCCACAGATGTCGAACATCTTGTTCCTATGTCTGCCGGATTTTGTGAAGTCGGTACAAAACTCCATTGCTGAGGTTTAGATCTTCTGTGTATGACACTAACCCGATTAGAAACGTAGTTGTAGAATCTGCGAGTGTGATTGTTCAGGTACCCTAGCACCACTTTGCTGTCTGTATAGTAAGTAGCAGAATCTGGGTCAATATCTAAGTGTCTAATCACAATCTGGACTAATTCTGTGCCTAAAACAGCTGCACATAGTTCAAGACGTGGAATTGTTGTGGACTGAAGTGGAGCTATCTTCGACTTTCCAATGACGAATCCAACCTGAATGTCACCTGAACTGCTAACTGTTCGCAAGTACACTACAGCTGATATCGCCTTCTCGGAAGCGTCAGAAAAGACATGTAATTCCTTCAAATCAGCATAGCTTAAGGAAAGTGGAGTGAACATTCTCGGAATGTGTAAACCTTCTAGACTGTGAAGGGAGTCTTTCCATTGTAGCCACTCTTTCTCCCGACCTTCAGGAAGCGGATCATCCCAGCTGCTGTTATGCTCACCCAGCTCTCTGTACAGGATCCTGCCATGTATCACAATGGGCGCAATGAAGCCAAGAGGGTCAAACAAGCTGTTGATGACAGAAAGCAGTCCTCTCTTTGTGAATGGCTTTACTGGAATGTGTGTGTTGTAGGTGAAGCTGTCCGCATTTATATCCCATGCCAGACCTAGACTTTGCTGGACAGGTAAGTCGTCTGATCCGATGTCCAGTGCCATCAAGTTCTTTTCCAAGTCCTCTGATGGGAAAGCTTCCATGACTTCCACATCGTTGGATACGATCTTATGCAGTCTAATGTTAGCTTTCTTTAATGCACTTTGAGTTCTCCTTAAAAGGTCAATAGCTTCGGCACTTGTAGGTAAGGAGATAAGTCCGTCGTCCACGTAGAAATTCCTGATCACATATTTTCTTACATCTTCGTCCTGATCTTCTACAGTTTTTCTTAGACCATAGGTTGCGACGGCTGGGGATGGTGTGTTTCCAAACACGTGAACCTTCATCCGATACTCCATTAAATCTTCCTCTGTGTCATTGTTCTTATACCAAAAGAACCTCAAGAAGTCTCTATCTTCTTCTCTTACGAGGAATGAATAGAACATTTTCTCAATGTCTGCCATGATAGCGACTTTGTTCATGCGGAATCTCAACAGAACACCTAATAAGTCATTGGTCATATTTGGTCCTGAGAGAAGCACATTGTTAAGGGATAGACCCTCAAACTTCACCGAAGAATCAAACACTCCACGTATCCTGTCTGGTTTCCTGGGATGGTACACTCCGAAAAGAGGCAAAAACCAACACTCTTTTCCTTGTGGAACTGGTGGAGCGACCTCTAATGCACCACTCTCTGTGATAGATTTCATGAAGGTAATAATCATGTGTTCTCTCTTAATAGGATTCCTTTTCAGATCACTGTCCAACACCTGGGCACGTTTCAGGGCTTGAAGTCTGTTATTCTGCAGCTGAGGTCTTGGAGATCTAAAGGGAAGTGGAGCCTTCCACCGTCCATCCTCATCCTTCACAAACCCTTCATCCATGATTTTAATAAACTGATGATCTTCAAGAGACAGACCGACCTGATCATCATCTGCTTTTCTTTTGAAGACATGGGCTCCAATGTCCTCATGGTTAGATGTGTCGTCCTCAGTGAGATGAAACTTGTTCGGACATGGTTGGAAAATGGACTGCCTTTCACTAGTTATAACATTTGTCTTATAAACACTAACGTTTGAAGGCTTGTGTGCCCGGTTGAGACATACGTCTCCAATCACAACCCATCCCAGTCTAAGCTGTAGAGCGAAAGGTGAGTTCTTTGGTCCTAGTCTCTGAGATTGAACATGATGAGCTTCCAAAAGATCTCTACCAATTAAAACCAAAATCTCAGCGCACGGATCTATGGGTGGTAGAGGTAAGTCCTTCAGATGCGCATGGTGTTTTATTACCTCGAAGGTGGGTATTTCATGTTTTTCGTTAGGGATCTCGTCACATTCGGTGATTGTTGGCATCTCCATTACCACAGACCCATCCATTGTCGCAACCATTAGGTTAGATATCCGTCGACCGCTTTTCTGTACACGTCCGGCACAGGATGTTAGTGTGAAGAAATGGGCTTGGGAATTTGGTACACCCATAAAGTCAAAGAGTTCAGGCTTTGCAAGGGTAGCATTGCTCTGATCGTCTATTAGTGCATATAGAGTCAAGCACTTCTTCGGGTCATCCTTCGGATAGACGTTCACTAGGACCGCTTTCGCACATGAGCGTCCTTGGAAATGGGCTCCGCATACGGCGGTACATTTTGAAAGAATCTGTTCTCCTCCTTTAAGAATGCGCTCCCCGCCATGCTGTTCAGGGGTTGCCTGGCTGTCTGGAGGCCTGTGGAGGGCTGTGGGGTGTTGCACACTTCCGCACTCTGTACATTTAACACTAACATTACACGTTTTGAATGCATGAGTGTCAGATTCACAGCATTTATAGCACAGATTTTGTTCCCTAAGAAACTGTTTGCGTTCACGAATCGACTTCTTTCGGAATGCCTTGCACTCATTTAAAGTGTGACCCATTCCATGAATTGGACACTTTTTCTGGACACTAGAACAGCCTGTAGTTTCTGTGACACCTGTCTTCTTCACTGAGAAGGTTCCTTGCTGACCGCGATTTTGCTGCTGTGGTTTATAATTAGGATTGTCTGGCTTGGTCACTAATCCTGGGTCATTTAGCATCCTTGCAGATTCTTCAATAAAGTCACAAAATATTTCAAACGGTGGATATGACACATTATGTAGCAGTTTGTATTTAGATGCCTTTGTGGTCCACTTGGACTGCAAACTGTACGTAAGTTTTTGTAAAATAGGAAGAACTCCTACAGAAGTGTCAAAGTATGCGAAGAGAGGTCCTTGTTTGGGGTCATCCTTTAGCGATTTTATTTCGCAAAGTAGGTCTGACAAGTCATACAGCTTTTTCATGTCGTTGTTCCCCAACCTCGGAAATTTGGCCAATTTTAGCCGTATTGCAGACTCAACTAATTCTGGCGAACCGTATCTCTCATGAAGTCTTCTCCAAAGGGCCTCACAACCCCTTACTGGGTTATGGGTTGTTGTGGCCTTCACCCTTCTTGCGTGTTCTCTTGATTCTGGTCCCAGCCACCTTATAAGTAGGTCTAGTTCCTCTGCCGGTGATACGGAGGCTTCCTGTATTACGGACTTGAAAGTAGTTTTCCATGCCAAGAAATTCTCAGGTTTATCGTCAAAGTTCACTAGTTTGTTAATCATTAGTTCTTTCTTAAGAAGAAAACTTGTAAACTCGCTGTGTTTTGGTTCAAATGGATCAAGTGCACGACATGGTGAAAGCATCCTTGTGGACTCGACTGGCTGTTGGTGAATTTCCTCAACATATCTTCTGGTTCGCTTCATAGGGTCCTCCCTCTCCAGAACTGGTCCGACTATAGACTGTGATGAGATTGATATGCAATCTTGCATGTTTTCCAATGCGCGTAATTTGGCTTCAGCTACTGCAGCATCTCTTTGGGCTCCAAGAACCTCCAAATCAACTTGAATAGATGCCTGTTCCTTCCTAAGTTTGGCTTCTCTCTGTGTGTACTCTAATTTCGCCTTTGCCTCCTCAGCTTCCATACGTTGTTGAGCTAATGAGATGCTGTGAGATGAACTACGAGATGAATGTGAAGTCCTTTGGGAGCGAGCAGATGTATTATCTGGAATAACCTTTGGTTGAGTAGGACTCACTCTTGGTTCCGTTTTGACCTGGATTTGTTTCGGACTGTAGTTAACAAACGATTTCCTCATTGCATCTAATTCGTGCATAAAGTCATTCACCTTGTCTTCCAGTGAACGCATTAGTAAGTCTTGTGATGCCTTTTCTCTGTAGCTCTCATCTGAGTTTGATCGTTCTAGGAAAGCCATGAAATCTTCATGAAGATCACGATACTCCAACATCAGTCTGCCAATTCTGTCTCTCTGTAGAACATAAGACTCTTTTGAATGTGAAGCCTTTTCTTTCATTTCCTCTTCCAATTTCCTTCTGAGTTTTTTCTGTTTATTCCAGAAACTTGTCACTGTTTGTTCAAATCGTTCCTTTCCGACAAAGGTAAGTTTTGTTTTTCTCTTTGGGCGACCCATGGCCTCATGTGTTGGATCATCTGGATCCATCGCTGCAGTGTGCTGAATGCTGATCCAGTCTTTTTACTGTTATGGGACGAATTCACTAGAACACACTGTATCCCATTTCTTTATTAGTAAAAAGCTAAAATCAAAACAAAACAAACAATCAGTTTACAATAAATCAATAAAATGCAATAATAATGACAAAATAATTCAGAATTTTCAATTATAACCATAATGTGTTTCCATAGCTTTCTAATATCTTATGTAATAAAGATCACAACTGGCTTCCATACTTTTAAAATCAATTAGCAACCACGTGTATCATGTTTCGTTCAATTACTACACAAATAAAGCTTGATTTCACATCAATTACATAGAAAAAGATGGATTCGATTCATATCGACATAATATAGTGTGATATTGTATGCATATACAATATTTCAATTGCAAACATCGCAATACACAAATCTGCGCACTATGCAGAAAATAGGTCATGTCAGCCAACCGACAAATCAAGAAATTGTGCATCTTAACACAGTATGCATTCCTATGCACCCTAGAATAACAATCTATTTCATAAGTTTACACAATTAAAGCATTAAAGTAAACAACTTACACTATAGAACTGCATTAATCACTGCAAATGAAGTGAGACAACGTGCTCTGCTCTTGCCGACATTACAAAAACAAAAGTAAGTCGTACGTAAAATGTTTCGTAAAACATCACACAGTTTAAGTTCTCATCTGCAACTTTTATAAAATCAAGAATTTATCAACCATTCAATCCAACAGTATAATCATGTTTATAGAATTTGTATGCTTTTGAATCAAGTACACATTTCACAGTACATATGACTATATAAAATGTTAATTAGTAAATTCCTCATAAGGTTATTATTATGCTTAAAGTCATATATGGCATATTTTTTATAAGTTTTGACTGAATAAAACTTTAAAAGATTTTTCTATATGTTTTGTAATTACTTTATGTTAATGATAAGATTTTCTGTAAACTACACAATTTAAATCGACCGCTTCATACACAGTAGATATGAGAAATTTAAAACAACCAATTTATTTACTGACTTGGCATTGAAATATCAAACAAGTTCTAAGTCAATTAACTATAAACCTAGGGTTATACAAGTTCAAAACTGATGAAAAGTTTAATTTGAACGTAAATAACAAAGATCTTGCTCATGTACACTCAATCTTGTATTTTTATTTTTAAAGCTCAGACATGCCATATATAGCTATAGCATGTTTTTACTTTAAAATAGATTTTTTAAAGAAAGAATGCAGAAAGACAGGTGGCGGACAAGCTGAAGTGGAACTGTCAGAGGCAGAGGAGGTGCCTCTACAGAGACAAGATAGAAGACCAAGCTTTTTTGGCCTAGAAGCAGGCTTTGACAGTGATGGTAAGGAAGTCAAGAAACATGTACTCTGTACATTGTAACTATCTTACTAAACAATAGAGTATATGAATTTGATCACTTCTAAACTTTTGTTTCCATTTCAGTCGTAGTTTTAAATACCGGTAACAAAGAGTGCGAGAAAAGTCAGGATGTGGCATGTGAGTAAATGGTGAAAATATTGAACACATACATATCCACATTCTTCTTCAAATAAAATGGCAATATAATTAATACTTATAAATTTCTCTTAAAAACAGTGATCGTTGCAAACTGTAAATCAGTTTGAGTCGGAAAGGGATGTATGAATGGTGACTGGAAATTAAATGATACTCAATTACTTTAATTTTTTAATCTTTGTTTGCAAGCATTAAATTTTTTCTTTATATTTCACACACCTCCTAACCTTATTAGCATAAATCGGAAGAATTCGGAGATAAACGTAATAAAGTATGAACAAAATCCGTAAACGTCCGAACAGCTTTCCTCGCGAGAATTCAACGAGAGCAAAATGCCAGTGGTGAAAATCGAGAGAGAAATTCAACATGAAAAAAGAGGTAAAACTTTATGTTTTCTCGATTTATAAGGTTTGTAAATTGCAAAAAGTTGAAAAACAAACGTTTCTTTACTTGAAAAGTGAAAGTAGGTATACGGTTTCTCATTCTGTCAAGTGCTATTGCACTTTAAAGTGTCAAAACAACACCTCTCGATTTTGTAAACATGTTTCCACGTGGAGGGGAGTATTTGTGTCGGTCAAGATTAACCCACATACATTGATTTAGTAAACGAAAACACTCGTAAGTAGAATTTTATTTATCTTTTCGATTACCTGTAGCACAAAATGGCTAAATATTTTAGGGCATGTTTGCCAAATGATGTTAATAGCATGTCTTAAATTGAAGAGAAAATGCAGGTGCGCTATAGGCCGTTCCTATTTGTAAGGTAGTCTACCATGCATGCATATGCAGAATTACGCGTATCAAAGTCATTATTTTTACTTATCAATACCCAGTGATTTGTGCGAACCATTTGTGTGTTTTTTTAAATACCAAGAGACTAAAATTTAATTCTATCCGTATACTCGTGTGTATGCACAAGTACTTCTTCCGAATTTCCTCTATACATATACATGTGTACCTGGATTAAGGTTTGTTTACATTTGTTTGCAGTTTTAATAGTGTCAGCTGTTTATATCAATCATGTGGTTTTCACTAGAGCCTACTGATCAAAAAATGGTGGTTACGTACTTTTCTAATTTAATATCATAGGTATTAATATTATGATCAGATGCATGATGTCAACTGAGTCAATGCATGCAGTTCTCACATACTTGTGTATATGTATCAGATGTGAAACTTCACATATGCAGTTTATGAAAGTTTTTGAATATTTCTATGTGTACCACTTTTTCCCCCTTAAAAATATTGCCCATCTAAAACTTAGCTAATGAGATAGTATAAATATTATAAAACTAGAGGTACTGTGAGCATTGAGCTCTGACACTAAATTAGTGTCCATGTTTTGCTATGGGAAACCCAAAATATGTGTTGGATCAAAAAGTAAAATAGAAGATGCACCATTGCAATATGTAATAAAGATTCTGTGAAAGTCTCATCAAATATCACTCAGTGCCAGTCAGGGGTATCAGCTGAGGAATTAGCAGATAAGAGATGGGTACCCCAAAGTGTAACAGAAGGACAGACATACCAACATGTACCAATTACTTTTAAAATATACCCTCCCGCTTTTCAAGCGTGGGTATAATAAATTACAGACATGCATCAATCTGTGTCTCTGTGTATGTAAACATAATTTGCATTGATGTTTTGCATTTCTGTTTGTAAGAATACATGTATCTAATTTACATGAAAAGTATTTTTCTTTTTAACTCTACTGGTCAGAGACCAGAAGAGCTTATGCGATAGTAATGCGTCCGTCGTCCGTCCGTCTGTCTGTCTGTCTGTCTGTAAACAATTTTTCAAAATGCTACTCCTCCTACAGTTTTGGTCTGATTTCAATATAACTTGGCATACAAGTAGACTACACTAAGATACATAATTCTGTGTATCGGTTTTTGATTTCGATGAACGGTGTTGCTGTGGTTACTAAAAATAGAAATTTCTGTGAAATTCTTTCAAAATGCTACTCCTCCTACAGTTTTGGTCTGATTTCAATATAACTTGGCATACAAGTAGACTACACTAAGATACATAATTCTGTGTATCGGTTTTTGATTTCGATGAGCGGTGTTGCCGTTGTTACTAAAAATAGAAATTTCTGTGAAATTCTTTCAAAATGCAACTCCTCCTACAGTTTTGGTCTGATTTCAATATAACTTGGCACACAAGTAGACTACACTAAGATACATAATGCTATATATCGGTTTTTGATTTCAATGAACAGTGTTGCCGTGGTTACTAAAAATAGAAATTTCTGTGAAATTCTTTCAGAATGCTACTCTTCCTACATTTTTGGTCTGATTTCAATATAACTTGACACACAAGTAGACTACACTAAGATACATAATTCTGTGTATCGGTTTTTGATTTCGATGAGCGGTGTTGCCGTTGTTACTAAAAATAGAAATTTCTGTGAAATTCTTTCAAAATGCAACTCCTCCTACAGTTTTGGTCTGATTTCAATATATCTTGGCACACAAGTAGACTACACTAAGATACACAATTCTGTTTATCAGTTTTTGACTTTGATGAACATTTTTGCTTTGGTTACTAAAAATAGAAATTTCTGTTAAATACTCTCAAAATGCTACTCCAAATACAGTTTAAGTCTGATTATAATATAATGTGGCATGCAAGTAGACTACACTAAGAACATAAAGAGACTTAATCAAGGATGATTATTTTTTTATTGCTGTGGTAATGTTTCAATTCCCAACTGCTTAAGAACTTTTCTCTTCCTTTGCTATAAGTACAAACCAGTAGAGCTTCAGTCTCGACAGAGACTTCTGGTTTGTTTGTCTATTGCAGGTTAGAGTACATCTTGAACAACCATCTCCAGGTATGACAAAAATAACACAATTGACCCTATAAGGTCATAAACAAACATTATTGAATTTAGAAAATGTATATATACATGTATATACATTGTAAGACAAATGTGAATCATTGTAGGGCTAGAAAAAATTTCTTTCACTGCTCACTCAGGCTTTTTACTGGTCAGCTCATCATAATATTACTATCCCACTAGGTTACTACTAGCTTGGATAAAAAAAATTCACTGACCCCAGTCCAGTGGGCAATCAATTATTTTTTAGCCTTGCATTGTAAAGTCAGCTATTGAGACATTCCATCCTTTTTGTTGTTTGTTTTTTTATGATATGCACCATCTCACTCAAATCGCATACACAAGAAAGTATTTTTTTCCACTTTTAAAACATGGGCTTTACTGATCTTTACATGTATACAATGTATATCTTTTCTGTTGAAGAATGGCATTGTTGATTGAATTTAAAAATGATCTGCCATATGTATGTGCATGATACTGAACTAAATGCATGCACAAAAATTATAATTCCATTTAAAAAAAGGCAAATATATAAAAAAAAAATCAAATCAAAACAATTACATGTATAATGTGCAATGAATGTTTCTTGCAGGATATACTCTGAAGACAGCGATGTGAAAGTTCAAGGTTTGCCTGTTGTGAGTATTGTGTACATGTAACTGTAAGGATAAACTTATAACATTTAATATGCAACATTATAACTAGTATTTAATTATTTTCATCCTGATCATGCTGTTTGGAATAAACAAAGGAAAAATATGAAGCATGCCCAATTACTCCAATATATACATCTACATATCAATGTATAAAAGAATCCTGTGTAAAGTTATTTATATATAGTTAGACAGACACAGAGAGAGAGAGAGAGAGAGAGAGAGAGAGAGAGAGAGAGAGAGAGAGAGAGAGAGAGAGAGAGAGAGACGTTGATAAAAAGGGTCAATATAATTGAAAATAATGCATAATCAGTGATTTTTGTTTTCTTTTAATGCTCAAAGATTTAATCACATTCTGTTCTATTTTCAGCAGATCCTTTAATAAAGAATGGATGGAAAAATTCTCACGTCATGCTGCATAACAGTACATGTAAGTTCAAAGGCAGAAGAAAATTCATTAAAAGGGACAGTATAAATACAGTTGATTGTATGTTTCAGCAAACAATTTAATGAAATGAAAATTATGCCAATACATAAATCAGCATATTATGCAAACTTCAAACGATTTTCATATTTTTCTGATTTGCATGTAGTGCAATGATATTTGTCAGTATTTTTCATTCAGTTTTTTTCACATAATTGCAAATGCATGTATTTTATTTGGATAATTTAGATTTAGAGGATTGTATTAATTTATTAATCATAATCAGTCTTCACGACAAATTTTTTTCAGCACATGCCCTTTGGGCATGTAGATCCATCATTTTAACCCAGCCCATTCAAATTTTTACATGCCCAACTCAAAATTCTTATATTTACTGGTACATTAATGGTGCAACCAAAATAAATAAATAAATAAAGGTTTTATTTCAGTTTTATTGTATTAAGGACAATGTTTCAAATTCTTTCCAGCTCCCTCTCAATTTCAAGCTCTGTCATTTCCATATCGCTTTCTTCACTTTCTGTTTCACTTTCCTCTAAATCTGCCTCTGCATCTGCCTCTGCATTTACATCTTCTGTCAAGCTGTTTACCTGTAACATCGTATTGACACAAGAATAAATAAAACATAGATGAAGATTTTCTATATTAATGTTTCACTGCGATTTTCAATGGCACACTTGCCATTTAATGAATTTTCAGATACCTTATTCAAAGCAGAATCAGATTCTGTGTTTGCCTGTGCAGTTGTGACAGTCATGGACTCTACGGAATCTTCCACTACCTCCATAATGTCAACCTATTAAATAATTGTATTTAAAATCTTTTGATCTATTGATTAAGATGTTAGTGTTTAATGCAGAGAAATGTTGTACGAGTACTTACCTCATTTTCAGCAGGTAAGGGTTGTGTCACAGTACTTGTTGCTTTTGTGGACATCTGGGTAGAACTGCAAGTCTTTTTTAAGTTATTAATAAGTCGTCTCTTCTGACCAGAAGGAGTTTTCTGAAAGAAAAAGTTTCGTGAAAAAATTTGAAATGCAAAAATTAAAAAAAAACAGGAAATAGCATAATATTAACAACTATAGCAGAAAACTACTCACCATCCTGTGTTTAATTGCTTGCTCTGGGTCGAAGTTCTTTACACTCTCAGACTGTATCTGAATTGTGAGAAGATCATTTAGAGTAGTAGCCTTCATCCTTCCCCTACGTTTTCCTTTGCATAGCTTCATGGCCGAGAAGGCGCACTCGTTATTCACAGATGTTGGTGGAAGACAAAGGGTGATGTCCATAAGCTTGAAGATGTTTTCAAGGCCATGATTGCCGAATCTAATCATTACATCCTTCCAAGACAGCAAAGGAATTTCTCTGTCATACCTTGAGAAAATATTATTAAAATAAGCTGTACTTCTGTAATTTTGTAATTTTATGGCTAACTTCACCTTAAATCAATAGAATGCATACTTTTCATATATAACAGCTTTTAATAGTGCCCATTCTTGAAGCAAATCCTCCTCACTGCATTCATAATAAGCATGGAATTGATCGGCCAGGAATTTAACTTCTTTATTTCCAAATTCTATAAAGAAATAAACATTTTTTTTATCTTATTAATAAATAAAATTACAGAAATATAATAATTTCAATTGTTTTCAGTTTACAATGAAATTAATTTCAAAATGAATTAAGTAATTTATAAATCTACACCTTAGTAATTTATGTGCTGTGTCACTCAGGAATTAATAACTTCTCCAAATAAAAATAAGCAAACTGCAAACCAATTTGAAAACAAAATCTGAAAAACAATAAAAAACTGAAAGTGTCTGAAAAATAATTTCATAAAAAAATAAACAACAACAAGTAACCAGGTATGTTCTCTGATCCTTTCTCTGGCCAGTTAATGAAAGATGCAAGGACAGTGGATTCCACAATTTCTGTGGATGGAAATCTCTTTTCCAAAGATGATTTCAAACTGGTGACAAAATTTTGCACTCTTGCATTTGGTTTTCCACCTTGAAAACTCAAAGTTGTCCCTTGATATGATTCACTCTCAATAACTTCTTTCACTGATAAAACATCTCTACAAATTAAATGATCTTACCATATTGTCTTTGTTTCTATTTGATAATCATGATAATCAACTTTCACTCTCATTAAATGATACAGATGCATGCATGTACTTACACAGGTTCCATATGAGTAAGTAGAGTTTTTGTAACACCAAGTCTGTGAAATCCGTCTGCAAGACATATCCCTTGAGTTTGCAGATACAACGACAGCTTCATCAAGTGGGTTATGATTTCCTATTCAAATTTAATACACGTTTTCAAAAGAAATTCTCATTACCTACATCATGTACATGATTGTCATTTTGTGAATGTGATATTTGTTATTGTTTTACCTTCAATTTTAAGATGTATGCAATAACATGACCATCACTGATCAGACGAGCATATCCCTCTGCCTTTGCATTATTATGACTACTGGTTTCAAGTTGTTGTCGAATAGCTTTGTATCCTGAAATGATTTTAGTTTCTGTGACTTTCGATGACTAAACTATTATGATAAATTTTACTATTATTTATAATTAATCAAATTTTTAAATATTTGCATTAATTTACCCTTTATGAGTACTGTGATGGCCCTGTACGTGTGTGGCAACCACCTCGTTCCTCCTACCCTCGTAGGTAAGACCTGTTTCATTTCTAACGAGGCAAAACTTCGCTGGAGGGCCTTCTTTTGTGTTGGACTTTTGTGGTACAGGTAAAATAGTCCTATAAGTAATGTCATGCATTTAGTATACAGACTTGGTTGGCACGATTTTATTGCATCTTTGAAACTCAATTCAAGACGATGGGCTAAACAATGCACAACAACCAAATGGGGTCTTGTCTCCTTCAGCAGTGCACCAAGTCCTGATTTACAGCCTATAAAAAATAATAACACCATTTATTTTTCATTTAACTTTAATTAAAAGTCATGATCATGGAAAACAAATAAGGCGATACTTATCATAACATTTATCATTTAATTATGCTGATCAGTTTTAAAATTATTAATAAGGATAACATACCTTGCATGTTAGATGCCCCGTCTGCACAAAAACCAATAAGCTTGTCTTTGAACACATCATGAATCTCGAGGCTTTGGAAGGTTTCCTGGAACATCAGATGTAGATCACTTGCTGAAGTGGAGTCGGGACTCCCAATGTGCAAATACATGACTTCAACGACCCCTTTGTTACAAATTCTCACATAAATGTTTTCCAACTCATCCCCTGTAAAGTCAGTCACTCCATCACATGTAAGGGAAAAGAACAAACTGTGACGTAACTTTTCACATACTTCTGATCTTGTAACTGCAGCAATGTGGTGTATCATTGTAGCTGCAGACTTGTCATTGAGGTACTGTTCTCCCACATCAAGACCCTTCATTTTGTCCAACTGACAAATAAATGTATAGTCCAAAAAACTTTTGTTGTGCTTCGCTATAGCATGGGCCGTTCGAAATTTTATAGCCATTTTGTCATAATCGGCTTTTTTAAGTTGCAGTAGACATTTTGATGCCAAACTTTCTGAGTGAGTTTTTAAAGAGTACTTTGATGTAAAATGTTTGTGCCACTTTGATTCCTCGTGGTCCTTTACAGCGTCGATTCGGAAATGATTAGAGCCTGTTGTAAACTTACTTTGTACACCTTCTTTTTTACACCATGCACAAGACATCAGATTGTTTTCCGAGTCATACACCAGCCATGGTCTGTCTTTCTGCCATTGGTGCTGAAACTTTCTGACACGTTTTTGTTCATAATTCACTTTAGAGTCACTTGCTGGTCGTTTCACCGGTTTAGCTAATTTCAAAAATGGTATCATGACCGCCCAATCCCAACTACACGTGGCATCGATGTACGTCTCGTAATTAACCAAACATATATACAATAGGTTAAACTAAACACTTCAATGATTACGATTGACGCTTATTTGACAAGTCGTACCGAGAATGTAGACGCACAAAGCAAGTTACGCGAATAACTTGGGTACGATGGACGAAATGACAAGTAAACATTGTGAGATGACGGAAAATTTAAACATGCCCTTCGGGCATGTCATTTAGCAAGTTTTACATGCCCGCCTGCAATTTTTCCAGGCCCCGGGCATCGGACTCCCGGGTTATTTCGAAGACTGCATAATTGTAGTTCAGCTGCGACAATAAAAATTATCTGATGAAAGCTTCAACCACGAGAATAGGAAAGGATGTCAAGGCCAAAGAGAAGGTACGCTGATAACTGGTGATGATATGTTATTGATGTAAATAGAGTAAAGCAATAAAATAGAGAGAACAATTAGAAATCAGTAGACAAAAAAATTAAATCAATTCTTTTCAAGAATAGGCAAGTCATGATAAGTCACTCTGAGGTAGTTCAGAACAGATTTAGATTTGTTCAGATCATATAGGTATAGGGTGGGGTGGTGCCACAGTGGGGGGGGGGGGTCAAAGTTTTATTCTGGAATATTTAAGGCTTTTTATAAAATCTTATTATTAGATTATCAGAGCTGCGATGCATCATATTTTTTTAATGAATACATCATAGTACAGAATCCCAAAATCAAGGGTATTGGATGTGCCATAATTAGAGACAAAATGTTTATCTTGAAAGTCCTTTGTAAATATTGGAAAATCATTTTGTTTATTTCTTGGCTTCTAATTTAAGTAGAGATTAAAATAATTTCAGTTTTCATAATTTAAATTCCTATTTTAAGGAGACTTTAGTTAATATCTTGAGTTTCAGTCTTTCAATTAATCTTTAAATATCAAACTAGCTGCAACTTAGAATAGCTGGTTATCAATAATCTGCATAGCTCACAAACTAGATAAGGTCTAATAGCTACAATTTTCAGAAAGAAAGCAATATTTTGGGGTTTTAGAAAAGGGGCATAACTCTCATCATGATAGTAAATGATGGATGATAAATGTGAAAAATGTATGCTGTTGGATATCAAGTGAATGCAGTGCAGTCTAATTAAGTACAGTTAAACAACAGTACACATGTATCTTAAAATCAAACAACTTCGACTATCTAGGGTATGTTGATGTTCTTGACAGTATTACAAACTGGATGAATGATTTGCAAACACTTTGCATTGCATATGTTTTACTTTTGTTAATTTAATTAGCTCATTTTGCGCAGATCTCTTTCGCATGCAGATTATTAATGAACAATGATAGATTGAATTAGCAACCATAAATGGCATATAGGACATTTTATACTCTGTTTGAGTTGAACTTTGGTATATATCTTGAACACTGAGAGATATCTTGAACACATATAGATATCAAAGTCATTTTAAAGTCCCTTGAACACATTTTTTGTTCTATATATCTTACCCTGAATCTCTTGGATATCTCAGTTTTTCAGCAGTCCAATAAGCCTTTCAAGATAACAAGTGTGACTTTATTTTATTGATTCAATTAATTTATGATGAATTATAAATATATCAATCATATACTTTTATATTTATGTATTAATTAACATTTTATATTTTTCAGGCCATATAACAAATGGTTGCTGAATTCATGAAGACTGGGATGATACAGTACTTTTTTTATTTGAGGATACCTTTCTAAGAAAAGAAGAATTTGCATATTCAAAGACTCCTTAGTTTATTGTTTGTTTGTATGTTGTTTAACGTTCTTCTTGAGAATTTTTCACTCATGGTGATGCCAACATTTGCCGGTGGAGAGCTGCAAATTTTGTCCTTTACTTGGCACACATGGCTAATTGAGCAATGCGGGATCTTTTTGTTGCTAGCACCTACTGCAACACAGGACCTCTGTATATGCAGTCTTTTCTCTATGTCCGACAGTGGGATTTCGAACCAGCAATTTAATGATCAACTCCTTACTCATGACTGTCGAGCAGATGCTCTTGCCACTGCACCATGCAGGCAACTTCATAGGTTGTACAATAATAAGATAAGATTTATAACTTAAAACTAGTGTTTTTAATAAATTCAGTCACAGTATAGAAAATTTTTGGAAAAAAGGGGGGTAATAGCTAGCTCTCACTGGTATTGCATGCTTAAACTATACGAATTACATACTTTAATTACACATGTATTTTAAACCAGATCAGTAAAGAAAGAAACACTTGATTATTTTTACTATGAATTTTATTATGAGGTTGACTATCTTTAAAAAATGGAACTTTAATCTTTTTGAGTAGGAAGAAAAAAAAATAATTAGAATGTACATGTGCACTAATAGTTTTGTTTATTAAAAAATATTCAAAATTTGGAGATCTTGTGAAGGATATCTAAATATTGTTTTATAAATTTTTACTTCATTTTTAAAACAGCGTAATCTTTATTATAACATACGTCCTGTAATATACAACTTATTTGTTGTTGAATATTTCATTGTCTGTCTACATGATTTCTTGTAAATACAAATATGATTGCATGCTGTTTGTTTACTTTGTCTTTTTTTCCAATATGAGTCATGATATATAAATGGTATGCATATCAGTTTAAATTATTTTTGTTGAATTCATTTAACAAAAAGAAAAATTGATAACTGAATATAATTATGTAGACAGATACCTTCCAGTAGTAGCTGCAGATATGTAGCTTATGTGAAATCAGGTACAGTGCATACTTGAAAATCAATTTACCTGTATTCATTAAACAGAAATTTAGTGAACATATTTATTTACATAAACAGTATTCCATACTTAAAATAGACTGTGAGTTAATGTTATACTCATTCAACATAAACATTGAGCAGAAGTGATGTTGATGAAATAAAACATATATCACAATATATTTTCTTTTTTTCCTCCAATTAATAACAGTTTAAATGTATATAAATTGATAAAAGAAACTGACTATACCATTAAAAATCTTGAGTTGTCTTTCCTTGTGTAAAGAAAATATCTGATGCAATGAATGCTCCCTTGGGTTCATGACCCTGAATATTAATAAGGTTAGGAGGTGTGTTTCAGCAGCCCACAGACATCTTCAAGGACTGACACTTCAAAAGATAAAGAAAGCGGAGATAAGATAACTTGTTTGACCAAGGTTGCACCTTTTTAGCACACCTTAGCAGTAAGTTCTGGTTTCGGGAGCATAAAACTTAGAAAAGCTCACTTTGAATCTCAATTTCATTTTTACTAAACAATGAAATTGAAACAAGAAAATTGAGACCTAGATCAAAAGTGAGTTCATTTAACTTTTTCGCACCTGGGCTTTTCTGATCACCTGTTAACATGTGTCTAATGGTCTGTCTATCGGTCTGCCTGTAAAATTCTCATGTCTACTGATGGTGCTTTTAACTTTCCACATTCTTTATAAGCAAAAAACTGAAGAAATGTAAACATATGCAGTATCTTCGATAAAGAAGAGGATCTTTGTCCAGTTGTGAAGAAGCCCATGGACTATTCGCCATCAAAAACCGAACTAGATGAGAGGTTCACGATCAAGGCTATCAGCCTAAAAGGTGGGTTAATCAGGGTTCATGTTATGTCAGACGAAGAGGAAGTGTTCAACATTAGGATGACATCAGAGGCTAGCCGCAATCCACAGATACTATCTTCAGAAGTCTCAGAACATTCGTCCGGACCCATTTTTTCAGCTCCAAACCCTATTTACGAGGGGTGATCAAAAAGTTCGCAAACTAATTGAATAACTTCCATATTAGAAACAATATTTGGTTTTAATGTTGATTATATTTTAAATTAATCCTACCCGATTTTAATGCACATCAACCACCGTTCTGCGCATGCGCGAATCACGTGATATTGGCGGTCACGTGACCCCCTCCGTAGCGTTCTGTCACAAAAGTTAAAAGATTTTTCCGAATTTGATATTTCTTTCCATGTGAGTTAATTTTTATGACAAGAACAGTTAATTTGTCAGAAATGGTCATATCTCGGCAACAGAATGGGTGGATAATAACATCCTTTCCAAAAATAAGTATGGCGACCATTAAAACACAAATCTTCTGTCACAGGAGAGACCTTTATTCAAGGTGGATAGAGAATGGGTGCATCCTTTTTATCATATCTAATATGTTTAAAATCTAAAGTAAACGATATCTTACGTGTTTAATACTTATATCATTGTTCAAATATTCAACTATTTTTCAAAGTGCTAATTGGAGGTCTTTGATAGCAAATTGCTTAATTAAAAATACATATCTTTTCAAACTTGCTTTCACTGGGCAAGATGACAAGTATCATTTTTAACCATCAGCCTTCCTTCACTAAAACGATTAATCCAATCATTAATTGAATTTATAGGAACTCATTATCTCAATAAAATGTGTACAAATTATTATATGATACTGTGGAGGGATTTCTAAGATATTACAATAAATTGTACAGTCGTTTGTTGAACAAGTTCGACTGAGACAACCATTTTTCGTCACAAGTGACCTAAATAGTGACGTCATTTTCACATTGTGACGTCACAAACAAGGAGAGAAACTTTATTCAGCATATGCTATTTATAGACCTTGTGTATGGCTATGTGTGTACCCAATTTCATTCTAATCTGAATTGTGGTTTTGTAGATATAGAGATAGTTTGCGAACTTTTTGATCACCCCTCGTACACCAGTTTCCTCGTCGTCCCTTCTAAAAGAGATGTCGAAGCTGCTGGGTGTGGATGCTAGGCTGGTGAAGTCTGTCACGAATTAAAGGCTCCTCCCCACCCATATATGTACCATCAAGCTTTTCCAGCTCCCAGGGACCAGGAACCTCGGATGGTGTAGTTGAGTCCCAGGCTAAGCCTGAGATTTCTCCTACCACAGAGCAGCTTATTGCCATTGCGGTAGCAGTGGTAACAACAGACATTTCTGAAGCTGGTGATGCCTGTCCGGACCCTGCTCGCCCAGCTGAGTCAGAGATGATCCCAGCTCCTCCTTCCAACACTAAGTCCTTGCCTCATCCTTTCGCTGTGTGTCCTGAGGAGTCACTTTCTTCTGCCGAGTCCACTGTTCCAGAACCGTCTGAAGTTTTTCCCGATTTGAAGGCATCTGTATTGTTTGAGCTTGCTGATCCAGTTGCATTGAGCACATTGAGTGATAGTCTTCTTTCTCCGGACCCCACATGTGTTGTTGAAGCCATTGCAGACCAGGCAGACTGTACAACCAGCCATATCAGCGAACCAAGCCATCCTTCTGTGACTTTATCTGCACCCTCTGTCACATCCCCGACTTGGAGGGGGGGGGGGTTACTGATTTGCGTTCGGTTTTATGTCGTGGACTTATGACAAAATGGTACCTTTCTGGTTCACTTCTTGATCCAATAACCGTCTGTGCTTGCTGCGTCTCTGCTTGCTCCTCACAAGATTGTCGAGTTGTTGCTTCTTCCTCACTTGAATTCTGCGTTGTCGACTCAGATATGGTAGTCAAGGCGGACTTTGAAGAGCATGATTTATCTTCTAAAACAGAGGATACGGACATTCTTGCAAAATTTTTTGTTTAAAAATGTTTATTTAAACGAAATCCCCCCCCCCCCCCTTTACCCTATTATAATATTTTTTTTTGCTAGAAAAATGCTCACTGGATACTTTTGTGAAATAAATATTGAATTAAACTTTTTTTCTGCTGAGGATGAGAAAAGAACCCTTTAATCACGATATATAATTTCTTTTTTTTTCAAAAAAAAATTGTTGAAACTTATCGAAGGTTGCTATGGAAAAAAATTGTTTGAACGTGTTTTTTTTCCAAGTCCTGGCGTTTTGATATCATTGTCAGCTGCTTTTTCAATAAAAATGGAACTCGTAAATTTCCTTACCTCGTCATTGGTCATTCGCAAAATTATTTTGTTAAAACACATTCTGATTGCACAAACAAGTACTCGGAATTTGACATAAAAAGAGATGCTTGAGTTTCTGATTGACAATATCTATGTGGTTTTTTGGAGACCAGGTCTTCAAAAAATCTATTGGAACTCCCATGGGTTACCAATTGCGCTCCGTTATTAGCAGACTCATTTCTGTATTCATATGAAGCAGAATTTGTACATGAAAAGAAGAAAACACTCACTGTAGCCTTCAACTCGACATTTAGATATATTGACGACGTATTGTAAATTAACAAGGGTTATTTCCATTCTAAGTCGATACAATATATCCCGGTGAGCTTGTGATACATGTAAAAGATACCACAGAGTCTGACACATGTGTTTCATATTTGGATATTTTTCTTGAAATGGACATAGATCTAAATGGTAATCTAACAACCAAGCTCTATGATAAACGTGATGACTTTAACTTTTCAATCGTCAACTTCCCTTACCTATACAGCAATATACCTTCATCACCTGCATACGGAGTTTACAAATCTCAGTTGATTTGATACGCTTGAGCATGCTCTACGTATGAACAATTTCTAAAACGAGGTAAATTATTGACAAACAAGTTTATAAGAGTATCAGCGGTTTCGTTTAAAGTCATCATTTTGTAAGTTCTATGGTCGATACCATGAGTCAGCAGATACAATTTATCATTGAGTCAAATGCTGACTGACGTTTTTCATACTAATTGTTAGTCCATTTTTATACACTGAATTGACGACGGATTTCCCCGTTATTTCCCGATCATGACAAGGAGCACACGGCGGTTG